AGGCTGCTAACTCACCTGTGTTGTTTTGTGAAATTTTTGACTATGTATTTTGTATTTTCAATTTTTCTGATCAGCGCTGGTCAACAACATGTCGCCCAGTTTACTGTCAAACAATCGCTGAGAGTGCTTTATTGAAAGCTTTAAAGTAGTGTGCTTCGATATCAACTCAGTGAAGTACTTGTCCTCGAAGCAACTCGAGAAAAGGACAGCCGAGTGCACCAGAGGCCTGTAGCCTTGCACGAGGGATCTCTTCAGGGCACCTCCCTGTGATTCTTGAAGTATGACACGATGTTTTGTTTCAAATCAATCGTGTAAGCAAACTGATTCAGGGCATCAATATAGCAGTGCTTAAATGTCTGCAACATTATAGAGAAAACGTGTTTGCGTCAGCTCGCGCTTTTGCATGGGAAATTACAGAAAAATTGGATATCGAAATAACATTTCCAGAACATAGAAGCAAAAGGAAGATAGCGATATTTGACTATGAACGTCCAGGTGACATTCCCAAAACTACAGAGAAGAGGTATAAGCAAGATTTCCGTCCGCTAGTTCAAGCAGCTGCATCTAGCTTGAATGAAATATTTGCTCAGTTTGAAGTATTTTACAGTCTTTTTGGCTTTCTTTTTAGTACCAGGGAAATGTGAAAGGCCACAGATACGAACACTTTAAGTGAATGATGCAATCAATGGTTAAGATAATTTGAATATCGAGATTTGTTCAGATGTAAATGCCTCACCAGCTATTGTCTCTACTTCGCGTCTGGAGATAATCAGCAATATCTTCACTGAAACATTTCCGGATCTGTACTTAAGCCTTAGCCTTGTATTGTGAACCATTTCGGCCATACCTTTAACCCTGACATCAGGAGAAAGAAGCTTTTCACGTTTGAAACTTGTAAAGAAGTAAATGTGTTCAATACTGTCACAAGATTGTCTGGGTGGCTTAGCAAGTATCAATTGAAGCAATTAGATATATTTGAGGAAATTTTACAATAGCTTCAGTAGTTTTAGCGTTTTAAAAGAATTTAGGAAATAAGTAATAATGATTTTCTGAGTTTTTAAGTAAACATATACATGAAGAAACAGCATAAGTAAAAAACGTCTGTATTACGAAATAAGGTCAAGAGCTAGGAAAGTACAGCTAGATGGTTAAGTGATACTGAGAATCACAAGTTAGTGAATTACGACTTAAGAGTTATTAAAAAATGAAGCTACAACAGAGATATTGAGAAAAACGTTAACAATAAGTTTGACAGGGATAAGTTGCTGACTCCGAGTTAGTAGTACAGTAAAGGCTACTACATCTCAAATCGGCGCTTTGATGCGAGATCTGTTACTCCAGACCAGTGTAATAGTACAAATGGAAAGGCAACCGAAGAACTCACCATCACAGTAACCAATTAGTTGAGAGCTTTGATTGTTGTTTTGGAATAGCCCGAGAAGTTTCACAGATTGACCAATAAAGTGTTAGAATTAGTTGCAGGTAGTTAGGAATACTATTTGGAGGGTCGAAAGAATACAAAGAAAATATGGTTTAGAAACTCATGTCTGGAGCTAGAAATCAGCTCTCTCCAGGAAGAATCAAGATTCTACCAGAGTCACTATAAGCCAGCGAAGATTTACTAGCTCAACTATGATATAATTAATGAAACTATTTCTCTCTCAATTAATGTGAATTGGAAAGAAACATATCAAAGCTAAGAAACTAGGTGTTATGTACGAGATATAACTAATAGTGTTGTCGACCCAAACATATCAAAGCTAAGAAACTAGGTGTTATGTACGAGATATAACTAATAGTGTTGTCGACCCAAACATATCAAAGCTAAGAAACT